TTTCAGACAAAAGCACATACAATCCACCTTCTACTGTTTCCTCTTCTTGAAAAGTCCCTGCAAATAGATGCTGATCTGTTTGGTGGCTGATATCTGAATTTCATCCCAATCGACTTGTGCATCTTCTCTATTTCACTTAGGGGCTAGATGACTGGACATCTGGACTTTATTGTTTCCTCTTTGCTAGGTGAATAGTAGGTAAAGTAACTCAACTTTTTTGTAACATAACCAAACTTCTCCACGTAAAATTATTCCCTAATGGTGGCACATATTTAATTTAAAAATCTTACATACTGATCATTTGAGTGAACAAAGCAAACTCAAAATACTTTTATTCAGTTTGTCACATAAGCAAACTTGAAAAGCTTCAGAAAGAACAAACAGAAAGGTGTAACGCAGCCATTAGCGGAGTATGTTTGGGTCTCCCATATAATCACCCTTCTTATTACAAGATACTTGCTTAAATTTGAATAAGTGGAAACACATAATAACAACACAAAAGGCAACAAGCAAGCAAATATGCTACACATGCTCTTCTTCATAATTAACAGCTAAAAGTATGCCTTAAAAAAGTCTGCAATCAGGAGAAGTTACCTGAATGCGAAGATACAGCCGACGGATATAGAAATCTTCAAGTCCTAAGCAGATCGGAGCATATCCCTAACATTCAAAATAATTTTTTTTTTTAAAAAAAATAATCAATACAAATTCAAGCTCATTCTCAGTATCAAACAGGACGAAGCAGAGGTAGGGAAAGTAATACCTGAAGATTGCTTCCACGCCACCAATCAAAGATCTTCCTGAAGAATTCACGGAATTGACCGAATGCAAAGAGCAATCCATAGCTGAAGTAGGTTGTCAAGGCGGTCAAGTAAGGAATGGTGATCATTTTTTGACCGGTGTAGATCGGATCTGAAGAAGCAGAATCCGAGATCTCTGATCAGAGAAGAGAGAGAGAAAGTGAGGGGAGAGAGAGTGGAAGGGACGAAGAGGGAGGGGGCGGGAGCTGGAACAAGGGAGGGAGAGGATTGGGTTTTGACAAAATCCAATCCCCTCTAATTTTTATTTTTATTTTCTTTTTTTTCTTTGCTCTTTTGATTATTCAAAAACGAGGGAATGTTTGACTCGTGCTTTTCCTGGAAATTTATAGACCGTTTTTGAAGTACCACTACGTTTTGCTCTGATGATTGTACTTCGTTTTTATTCGTCTAAGCAATGGAAAGGAAAATTGTAATGTAGTGTCGAATACTTTTTCATATTTTGAATTTTACGTTATTTTTTTATTTAAATTTAAATATAATTATGTTGATTCAAATCAACATTTTATCTATTCAAATATAAATATCAATATGCGAATTTAAATATAATAATTATATTGATTCAAACCAACATTTTATCTATTCAAATATAAATATTAAATATATAATTGAATATAAAAAAAGAAAAGGAAATGAAAATTCAAAACCCACCAATTTTGAATGTTTTGTTTCAAATTTGGGTATATGCATATGAAGCAACGACAACGGGTCCCTTGGTGTCAAAAAAAATACTTAAATATCAAGTTGACAGCCAATTTGCTCTTCATTTTCCCTTTGTCGTTGTTCAAATCGTGTCATATTTTAGCGTGCATTTGGATACGTTATAATTTAAAATTAGTATTTGAATATGCAATATTGATTTCATGTAATAAAATTTTTTAAAACAATAATTAGAATTTAAATAATAATTTTAAGCTTTTCTCTTTCTTTCTATATATATGATTGATTAATAAGTCTAACTATACTAACTAGTTATTGTTATGATTGATCAATTGATTTAACATAAAATAACGTATATCTGAAAATTTATAATTGTAATTATTTATTTAAAAATTAAAATAAACATAGATATATGTGTTTTGTCAATATAGTTTCTTCAGAAATTTTGATAATTGATGTTTTATTTACTAACTATGATTTGCTAATTTGATAAGAAGATTGTATAAGAATTAAAGAAAGGTTGCACAACTTATAAATTTTCTATGCTTGTTATAAAAAACACAATTTAAGGAATCAAAACATATGTCCTAACAACTTTTTTAGTTTATATGATTTTGATTTCAAATCGTATGTCCAAATATGTCTTTTATCAGTGGACTTATTTTCTCGGATATTTTTTTACATTTAAAAAATTATAAACTTTCGTGCTCGAAGTTTTCTTTTATTCTATACCGATCCTCTTAATATGAGTGCATTTAAAGTTTAACCAACTAACATGGATGGATTTAATTCAATCGTTAAGGGAGCTCAATAAATAAAATAAAAAAGTTATTACTTGGGTTCAGAGAAATTGGAACGAAACGTATGTGTAGCTACAGTTTAATTTTTTTAAGCTATATGGATATACTAACATATTAATTAGTAAATTTAATTAACTATGAATTATCAGTTTTTTAGAAAAAACTATATGTATTTAAATAATCATTATTAAATAGGAAAGATATTAATATACACATAATAAATGTAGTATGCACATTTTATGGAGCTATGTTCTTTATACTTACCTTATTCAATATTTTTCTCTTTTGATATACATGTATTAATATCTTTTTTTTCCATAAAAGAAAAATATATGTACACTCGAACATTTTATTTATACACATACAATTCTAAATTTTATATATATTAACACAATATCTAAAATTGGGATAAATATGTACCGAAGAGCTTTGGAGAAGACATAGACATCTTTATTCTTCAACCTAACAAATGAATTTGTGCACTTTGTATTTAATAAATAAAGTTACCTGATATCTATTGTTGATGGGATGTGATAAATCTCTTGTGAAATAATTAAAGTCTACGATAGTTGATCCAGACATCATAATCATAAAAAAAAAAAAACATCTCATATTTTAAAAAAAAAATCAAATAAAACATCAATCTACTGTTAAAAAAAATGCTTAAGAAAAATAAATTTAATGCAGTATAGAAGACCATATATTATATTATCATTATATAATTATAGGGTGTACTTCTAATTTCACAAGCAACTGTGTCAACTACAATAATTCACGTGTGATCAATGTCATGGCCGTATAATTTGCTTCAACATTCAATTGATTAGTAGCAATTTTTTTTTTCTTATTGTTGCATGAATTCATATTTTAAGCACAAATAACACATAATAATATTCATCAATAGGTCTCTCATCTACAACTGAAACCAAACAAATTAAATTTAATATATGTGTACCACCCAATTACTTCAGCATGACCTGTACAGCTCTAAGTATGATTTTTCCCCACAATGTGCACATTTAATTAAGAATTTAAGACATGAGACTTAATTTATGGCTCCAGCCTAAACCACCTAGGGAAGCTATCTTAAAAAAAGCACACATATTAAAATAAAAATAATTAACATAGTAAAGTTATAATTTTATCCTTATTAAATATGATTTCAAAAACAATGAATTAAAATTTAGAAATTTTCAAAAAATTTAAATAAGGATATAATAGAAAAAAAATTGTTCTTTCTTAATTTGTCAAAATGGATAAGTAAATAGAAATAGTGAGTTATTTTCATATAAATTTTAAAATTTAGATATTTATTTAAAATAGTTATAAAGATAAGATGAATTTTATGATATTATAATGATGAGATTATTCATTTGATATAAAAAGTAAATATTAATAATTTGTAATTGTAAACACAAAATCACCTCATTTTAATCGAAAAGTGGAGATAAAATCTCATATAGTCACTCAACTAAATGTTTTTTTTCTTAGAAGGGAAAAGAGTCACAACTGCTCTTATGTGAAAGGAACAAAAATGTTCTTCCTTTATAGCTTAGTTAAAAAATGTTTTTACCGTTAATACTTTGGCTCGAAAATGCACTTGCAATCAATATTTTGATCCAATTATGCCTCTATAGTTAAAAATGGGTCAACGACGCCTTTTTACGAATAAATATATATATTTTCTTTTTAAAGACATCTTCTTTTTAATTAAAATATTATTAAAGAACACCATTCTTGTTTTATTTCTTTCACTTTAACAAATAAAAATGTAGAAAATATTTTTTTTTCTTAATCTTATTTTATCAATTAAAACAGAATAATTTCATGTACCCTTTCGACATATAATATATTTCATATATATAAAATTATAATATCCATCATTAATTTATATTTATATAACGATAAAATAATTATAATAAAATAAGAAATATTTTTATTTTATTTTTTGAATTGAAGTAGAATTAACATTTGCTAATTTTTAAAAAATATATTTTTTATAAAAATGTGTTAAAAGAAAATAATAATATATTTATTTTTAAAAAATATATTTTTGACCCATTAAATAACATAACAATATTTTTGGATCAAAGTATAGACAACAAGGACATTTTTTGACCAAACAGAGGACATTTTTATTCCTTTCTATAGTTTAAGGGCATTTTTGAGTCAACGTATTGACGGTAAGAACATTTTTGAATCAAATTATAAATGGAGAATATTTTTATCCTTTCACATAGTTTTAAGAGTATTTCCTTCTTAGAAAGTTACTCTACTTTCTTTATAACCTCAAAATTACTCAACTATGAGTTTTTCTCTCCGAAAGTCACTCAATTATAAGTTTTTCTCTTAGAAAGTTACTTAACATTCGTTTATAACGCTAAAAGGCACTCAATTATGAATATATTAGTTACAAAGTCACCAAATTCATGATTCAATTTTTGATTTTTTTTTTAAGTAGAAGAATTACATGTAAACAAATTTTAATGAAAAATTCAATTAAATAGGTAAAGTAACTTTTTATGTAAACTATTTATAGCGAAGTAACTCTGAAATTGTAAATAAAAGTTAGAGTAATTTTTTGAGAAAAAAATTAATAGTTGGTAAGTTCTGAAAAAATAATAATTCATTATTAATGACTGAAGTTATAGAAAAAAAATTAAATAACTAACTCATAATTGTGTTGAAAAAAAAAAGAACTTTAGTTAAGTGATCAATATTATCTCTCCAACAGTGGCGGATCCGATAGTGGGGCGTATGCCGGCCGGCCGGCCGGCCAAGCAACGGAATATCCTTTTTGTTAAAATAATATAACTACCGTAAAAAGAAAAAAGAAAAAAAAAAAGGGGAAAGGTTAAAAATGTCGAGTTGCCAATGGAGTAGCTTCACTAGAGTATCACTATCTCCATTTCCCTTGCAGCCAGCACAACTCAATACGGCATTAAACTTGAAGAAACAGTGTTGCTTTACCAAATCATCGATGGAGGATTCCAGTTCCCAGGGTCACCAATCGGCCTTTCAGTTTCTGACGAAGAAGCCTTACGAGCCTCCTCCATGGGCTTCGCTTCTTAGCCCAATTCCCTCTCACACCTTTTCGCTTGGTCATGTGAGATAACTGTCTTTCTCTATAATCTCTATTTGATGTTATTCTCGGTCTGTGTTAATCGTACGAGTGAACTGATCATTCTGTATTTTTTGTCTTAGTTTCCGACTCCAATTCACAAGTGGAACCTGCCTAATTTACCGAAGAACACCGAGGTTTGGTTAAAGGTATAGTCATTTTTTTCACTTTTTCTCTATTTGAAGCTAATCCATTGGGAAATAATGATGGTGTAAGATATGCAAAAACATTCACCATAAACTAAAAAACTGGAGGAAGTGTATATACACTATTACTTGATAAAACTCTATTTGAGCAATGAAACAATGTTATTTGAGGTTTTCTGATTTTTACGATGCAAACATATTGTGATCTGCTCCGATCATTTCAGGATTTGAGAAATGTTGATTGTATATCAAACATTTCACGATTTTGGTTTGTGTGTGTCTGCTTGAATGAAGTATCTGTGAAGTTGTTACTGATACTAATTGTGTGAGAGAGTTTTTTTTTTTTGACGACAAGGAAAATCCGCAGCCGCTACCCTTTTTGGGTGCACATAGGGTAAAACCCCGCTCCTATGCAATAGCTCGCAAACCGCATAGGAGAGGTAACCCGCACTAGGCAAGCCTGGTGCGAATTGTATGAGAGAGTTTCTTAAATCTATTGCAGATAAATCATTCAAATGAAATTTTATGGAGTCATTACTCGAAACATTTATATGTAGTACATGAGTACCTAGTTTATGTGTTCATATAGAAGTATAAAAAGTTGGGTATTGGTACTTTTTTATAAATGAGTTGGATGTTGGTATTATGTCATATAAATATTCTTTCGAGGATGTACACTGGTAAAATGATAAATATATTGTGACAACTATTATGAAACTAGGGAGTAAAATGATAGTAAAAGTATCCTACTATTTCATGCAAATAATGAAGAGTAGGATAACCTTAATTTTTGAAATATCTTGTCAAAGTTATTTGCAGTGGCATTAGACATGAGTACTTTTTAATATGTGTGTGTGTATGTTTTTGTGTATGTGTTTTGGGGTAAAAAGAAGAAAACAGAATACAACGAAAACAAGTTAAAAGACATGATTGAATACACCTCACTGAGAAAATATCAGAATAAATTAAGGACTAGTGGGGTGTCTAATCCATTCTCTTCCCTAGATGTCGTCTCAAACTAATGTCCATCAAGTGCATTTTGCAGCTTGATTATCTGGATAATTTGCGTTTTGTTGGGTCACTGCAAAGAGGTACACTTAGACGGCAATCGTTTAGAAGATAGATGGTAAACCTTCCTCTAGAAACTATACATATTAAAACAAGAGAAGGCTTTCATTGGAAAATACTTCATGGTATATGTAAAGTGCAAGTTCTTGTTTCATAGGAAGCCGGAGCCTGAGTATTTCTTTTTCTTCTATTGTTTCTCTTATTTGTTAGGCTGTTTTCATGCCAGTCTCACTATTCCAGACGCTTTATAACACGAACTAACTTTGAATTTGTAGCGTGATGATATGTCAGGAATGCAATTAAGTGGAAACAAGGTCAGAAAGCTGGAGTTCTTGTTGGCAGATGCTGTAGCACAGGGTGCTGACTGCATAGTGACTATAGGTGGCATACAAAGTAATCACTGTCGTGCTACTGCTGTCGCTGCCAAGTACTTGAACCTTGACTGCTATCTCATCTTACGCACTTCAAAGGTATACCATAATTGTTCTCTTGGTATTCTGTTTACTTCAAAGGACTTTCTCCTTTTTGTGTATAAAGGAGGGTATAGAGGATGCTGAGCAGATTTAGATTTTATAAGATCCTTATAGGTTTCTGTGTAGCAAGTTTTTGTCTTATCTTTGAGCCAGCTGTAAATCACTTTTCATGGTAGCCATCATCTCCTTGATGCTGAAGAATACAACATTACCTGTATCCAAAAAAGTACTGTTTGATTCATACATCTTCTGCAAGTCACATCTTCCCGTTTATGTGAATAACTTCTTTAGTTATGTCACAGTTACTTGTAGATAAAGATCCTGGATTAACAGGGAACCTCCTTGTTGACCGTTTAGTTGGAGCACACATTGATCTTGTTTCAAAAGAAGAATATGCAAAAGTTGGCGGTGAGGTCTGGTCTTTATTCCTAACATTCCTCCTCTTGTGTTTCTAATGCATTAAGTTTTTAGCTCTCTTTCTTTCTTTCCTCTGCTTGCACAAGGAGAACTTTGAGGTAAAGGTAGTTTGATGCTGCGCAGAGACTTCTTGAAGATGTTTGATTAGATTGCAAAGTTGTGCACCCTGTTCTAGTATAATATGTCCAAGCTGCATCAGCTGTTTATGATGTGCTTGAATATCTTACTGGAAATTGTCAAGCGATAAACCACCTACTCCCTCCGTCCCATCTTAAGTGACACTTTTCGGATTTCGAGATTCAAACAAGTGTATCTTTGACCATAATTTTTCATAGATATTTTAAACATTTTGAATTATCACCTATTGTGACTTATAGTACTTTTTACGTAGTTTATAAATATATAAATTTCGTTTAAAAAAATTGAAGATTTCATGCGCAAATTCTTGGTCAAATTTAAACGGTTTGACTCTCGAAAAATGAAAAGTGCCACATAAATTGGGATAGAGCAAGTATTATTTTGTGGTCCATGTTATTTTCTTTAATTGTCACCTACTGATCCTTAATAATCTTCTGGCTTTGTGACTTCATGTCCAAATAGATACCAGTGTGAAGACAATATTCTATGCATCAGCAATCCCAAGTAATGAAAATTTTAAACTGACAAAATCTAGAACTTAATGCAAACTCCATCCTTTTCTCCTTTTGGAGTTGATGACCTTTATATTACAGCGGTACACATGAAAGTGACTCTACTATAAAGGTTAACAATACATTGGAATTATTTCCCTAAGCCAGTATGTTGTTTTAAGTTACAAATGATTTCTTACACTTCTCTCGTTGGGTACTTGGGTTGATAGGTATGAAATGTTGAATTAGACTCAAGGGAATTGCTCCCCCATACAATGCTTAACCAAGTCCAAACACAAAGGAAAGTACAGTACGTGGGATTCTATACTTCCATCTACTTATATGGGAATTCAGGAAAATTAAGATTCTATTTCAGTTTTAACCATTCAACAGGGCATATATAATATGGACACAAAGGTTGCAGTCACACTCATTGCCTTTGACATGAAATTCGTAGTACAGTTGAACACTTTGAAAGAAGTATATCTTTGTACTAAGTTCAGGAACATTAAGATACTATTTCAGTTTTTACCTATCAACTTGGACATATATAATATGGACACAAAGGTTGCTGTCACACTCATTGCCTTCGACTTGAAATACAATTGTACAGTTGAACATTTTGAAAAAGTAGAACTCTACTAATTTCAGGAAAATTAAGATACTATTTCAGTTTTAACCTATCAACAGGGACATATATAATATGGATGCATAGGTTGCCATCACACTCGTTGCCTTCGACTTGAAATATATTGTACAGTTGAGCATTTTGAAAAAGTATACCTTTGTACTAAGTTCAGGAAAATTAAGATACTATTTCATTTTAACCTATCAACAGGGACATATATAATATGGACACAAAGGTTGCCTTCGACTTGAAATATAATTGGACAGTTGAGCATTTTGATAAAGTATACCTTTGTACTAAATTCCCACCTGCTTTCAACATAGTAGTAGTAGGTGCCAATGTTTTTAAAACCTGTCGCATAGCTGAACCATGACGCTAGGTGAAGTGCTATTTAACGTCTCACGTGTTTAGCTATTCCTTCAGTGCAGGCAGTAAGACACTCAGCTGTATGACTTAGTGACCAGATACACTATCTTATAGATCGCAGGACTAACAATATAGATAACTTTCTTATCAGACGGAAAAGTTACAATAGAAGTACTTCATAAAATGACATACTAATTTCTAAGAAAAGGTTGTGAATTACAAACTGTATACTTGATTTTTACATATGAATTTAGATATTTAAAATGGTTTTTAAAAAATTATTGACATGGTTGTTGCTTCATATATATTTTACCTAATTGCATTTTTTCCAATTTCATATTCCATATGTAGTTTATTTGTATTTCTATTCATTTTTTGCATTACAGTATATTTCTTAAACGATTCTTTTTTAGTGCACCTTTCTATTTTGCAACCACTGACTCAAAATCCTGCAACCTATTTTTCCCACCAACACCAAATATTCACCTAGTTAAATTTTCATTTGAAGTATCAAGAAGTTCTGTCTCTTCCTTCTTCCTTTAAGATTGGGGTGTTCCTTTCCTTCAGAATACACAGGAGAATGCCCTTCCGTCTTTCCCCTCTCCCAAATGAAAATACATGGCAGAACTTTTCCCTTTGCCATTGTTATATGGAGACTGGTTGAGTATTTCTTTCACTGATTCTGGTTCTGGTGGACTAGTGCTAGTCAATGCAAGAATGTGATACCACGCAACCATGTCAAATCAGTAGTCTTGTTACAAAATAAAAAAATAGAAAAAAGTGCTGATTAATTGGTGAGGTGAGATCTAGTGTTGCCCTCCAATTTTGTGACGTGTTTCTGATTTTCCCAGTGGAACTAGTATCTGAACTTCGGCCAATTTTTTCAGTTGTACCTTCTGTTTGTTTCTATAGTTTTTAAGCTGATAGACTTTATTATTGTAGTACTGATCATAATGTGTATTATGGCACAGGCTCTTACCAAAATATTGAAAGAAAAGCTGTTAAATGAAGGGAGAAAGCCATATGTCATCCCTGTTGGTGGATCCAATTCTCTAGGAACCTGGTGAGGCTCATTTTGTTAGCCACTTCTTGTTCTCTCTGCTGATAAGTCTAAACCTACTTCATTTTCTTCCTAATTTCCATTATTTTCGTTTCCACCTTGATATGTGTATTGGACTATTGGGTGCTTGAAGCATCAACATGTTGCCAAAAGTTCTCAATAATAACCTTCAGTTTCTGACATTCTCAAAAAAAAAAAAAATTAACCTTCAGTTTCTGAGTTTAGAGTACCCTATACGGCCTCTGTACTCATTGTGTCTTGCCTTAATTTGAAATGAATATGTAGCCCATTCATTATTCATTGTGATTCCTTCAATAACGAATATTCTTTCCATCTCGTGGCCCCAAATTGAGCCATAGAGTGAAGTCTAATCTGGTTACTTCTGATGCAAACATTGGCTTGACTTATTTCATTCGCTCTTTTCTGCTGTTTTGTCTCTTACAATGACACTTATATTTGGATGCTGTTAATTTTAGAACTCCAGTGAGGCTTCACCCTGAGTTCCAGGGATATACTTAGAAGGGCCTGCTTGCTACCCTGAAATGGATGCCATGTAGAAAGTTTGAAGTATAATCAACCATTTCATGTTCTTACCAGCTGAAACCCTCTCCATGGGCTTCTTAATATTGAACAGTCAAATAACCTTATGGATTATTGCATTAGCATTTCAACCATTTCATGTTCTTCTTTCTGGATGAAACCCTCTCCGTTGGCCTCTTAACATTGTACAGTCAAATAACTTCATGGATTATTTCATTAGCATTCTTCAGCCTTTTCTTTTGATCAGTAGTTGATGTTTTTACCGCTTGACAAATATCTCTGTTATTCCTTTTCAACACAAATGTGATGGCACTAGGGGAGCCAAGGATGACTTATTTTCTTGATTGACAGAGCTATCAGCTGTTCAGAAGCCAGTAGCCTGGTCAAAATACATGCCAAGGGTTGTACCTCCTATATGCTGATGTTTAAACCATCATTCATAGACTTATAAAATACATGATTAAGGAAAAAGATCCAACATGTCATCATTGGCATCATTAGTGGTATAACCAAGGGTTCATCCTTTAATTTGTTAGGAAGTTCCTCAAAGGCCTATACCTTGTTAAAGCATATCGAATTAATAGTCTGATCATGACCCAACTGCCTCCCCCTTGGCCGGATCTTGTACTGAGTTGCGCTCTGACCCTCGGTTGTTATCCTTAAATAATGGAGAGTGATGTTATACATTGTGATTTACTGCTCACAGCTGAGCAAATTTTTGTTCTAAAATTTGCCCTACTTCAGGAAGGAATACAAAATTTGTGCCTTAGTTCACCGTTTTGCTAAGTGTACTATTTTCTCAGGGGCTATATTGAGGCAATTAGGGAATTGGAGCAACAACTTCAGCACTTGAGCATTGAACAGAAATTCGACGACATTGTTGTAGCTTGTGGCAGGTTTGCACCTCTTCTGCATAATTTTGTAATAGTATGTTATACATGAATTTGTTGCATTTCAAATTGTTCATGCTTAAAATTAAAAGCAAGATTTGCTAAATTATGGTTTAGAAGTTTGTCCCAAAATAAATAGGAATACACTATGAACATAGAGAATGATCGAGACTCGTACTCTTAATAAGGAACATCATATTCAATTTGACCCATGATATGCCTAATCTTTGCTTGACTTCTGTTAGGACACATACTCTCTCTCTCCCCCCTTTGATACTTTTATCAGTGAGTGTCTCCCTGATGGCTGTTCTTTAATACATCAATGCATGTGTTGATCCTTTTGATAGGGTCTGACACCTTTTAGGGATTATTGATATTTGTTGGTAGACAAATTAAATAACCTTGTTGGGGGAGCTTTTGAGTTTTTCCCTGGACATTAGTTCCGTTACTTCTTCTTGACGACGACCAACTTTTTAATGCCTCCTAGTAACCTGTTTTCCTATCAAAGCATGTCATTTGAGAATCTCTATCTTTAAAAATCAGATTGAGTTCAAAAATGTTTTTGTTACATCTCTACATGCATCAGTTGAGCCTCTCCATGATAGGTGCTTTTGAAGGTTCAACAGAATCTTTGCACCCAAGAGTGTGGCTTTAGCTAAAGTGTTTTGTAAGCTTAAGATGTCTGTATCATCACATTTAAAATGGAATGTTCGTTCCAGTTTTCTTGGTGATGGAGGTAAGGCTTGAATTCTTGTTTGCCGCAGTAAAATCACCCAAGCTATGGTTCTAATAATAATAATTAAAAGAAGGATCAAATTATGGTGGAGACAGAAATACTAGATGAATTCTTCTTATACGCCTAAGCCTTGGCGGCAAGAGTTACTCGGTAACTTAGCTAGTGGGAGGTAGCAGATACCCAGTGGAATTTGCGAGAAGCCCCAAAACTGGCCCAGCCACCACCATTATTTTAAAAAAAAGGTCTTCAACTGATTCTCCATGCAAACCATCTACTATGGTGCATTCTTATAGAACTGCTACTTATTAGTACATTTTATTGATTGAACCTAAAGACATTTGTTTTTTTGCATTCTAGATGCCTCAGTTGTGTATCTCTAGTAGAATATTTGTTATTTTATGTTTGCTCTTCTTCTGGAATGAGTAACGTCAACTTCCTAAAAATTATCTTTTGTTGTGGCTGGAGTTACCTTATGGTGATAGTCATGATTTAATTATCTTTCACTGTTCGTTTGAACTTATTTATGTTTTGGAAGTTTGATTGAAGTTACGTTTATGGTTTTACCGTGGTTACTGTTACTGTTCTCGTTTTTGACCGCTATTGTTTACACTTTGGATCTCTGTTTGCAAAGTTCTCATGAATAGAAGTGAATGAAGATTTACTAATTATAGTCCAAAAAAAATTATCTATCAGTGTTTTAACTTCAGTTCTATGTCTCAATGGTTTCCAGTGGGGGTACGGTTGCTGGTTTGTCAATTGCATCCATGCTCAGTGGCTTGAAAGCAAAGGTAAACTGCTTGTCTTATTTGAAGTTGTTCCCATCTTCACGAAAAACAAATGTCACTAACAACTGGTTTTGATTTGTAGATTAATGCATTTTGTGTCTGCGACGATCCAGATTACTTTTATGAATATGTTCAAGGCCTACTTGACGGAATCACTGCTGGAGTTAGCTCCCGTGATATTGTTAGCATCAAAACTGTAAGGACTTCATTGTTTTCTCTTATTCTTTAAGAATAACCGTTTTACATTCATCCATTTCATTGTGTAACTTCTTGTTGCTCAATAACTATTGAGATGCTAATTCATGATAAAACAATGTGACATCAACTGTTGGTTGTAAGTCATGGATATTTTGTTCTTTTCTAACTGTAAATGTTCTCTCTTCCCATGTTATACGTCTTACAGAGCTTATGATCTTTAACGTGAATGGCAATGCTCAAACTAAAAAAATAAACTTAATTTCTGAAAGACCTTCATGGTTGAAATCTTTGATGGGTATTTTCCCTGTTAGTCATCGAAATCTTATCAGTAATCATTCATGTCCTGATCCATCTTCAAGAGGAAATTATGGAAGTAGTTCTGCATATGAAAAATTAGTTTAGTTCTCTAAGGAACCTCTTGGTATCAACTATTCTTGTCTTGGCACTTTGGTATTTTAACAGGCAAAAGGCCTTGGGTATGCTTTGAGCACCACTGATGAGCTTAAATTTGTGAAGCAAGTTGCTGAAACCACAGGTGTTATTCTTGACCCTGTCTACAGGTATGGCCAATTGTGCCTTCTCATTTTTTACGTCACGCCATTTCAGCCATTCACGGACTGTCCCACAGGATTTGTCTGTACTATGTAAAACTTATTGCATTAAATGTCCTCCAATCTTAGAAACTGCCTGTTCTTTGGAACTATGTTGTTTGGACTCTACAAAAATGTTGCCGCGACCCTTGTCGGATCCTCCAAAAACTACAGTACTTTTTGAGGATCTAACTCAGCATTTTAAAGTGTCCGACAAGCATAACTTATGAATGTACCAAATCTCAAATGAGGTTGGAGAATAATATATTTACTATAAAACCGGTAATAGTAGAATCCTGGGTTATTTATAATAAAAATAAAATAAAATAGTGGAATCCTTTTTTGCTGTTTTTTGTATTTTAGATCTTAATGTTTTATTACAAAAGCATCTCCAACTCAGGTAACTTGAGATCTCAAAATACATAGACTAAAATCCCACCAGGAAAGGGAAAATAAAGAGAAAGAAAAGTTCATAATATTTATCACGTACTAAGCGTACATTATTAACATAAACTTATTCTTTGATTGAAGATTACTAAGCTATAGATAACGAATACAATTTTTTTATGTGATTCTGAGACAAGGTTATTGACATTTGCTGTTGTAAACTTTTAGCTGTATGGGAGTCTGTTTTAGGTTTGCAAAAGTGATTCTTTAAGTGGAGAAATGTCTTGAGACTGACTAGGTTCCAAGAGAAGTAAAGGTCTTCAGTCTTTTGATCTACAACTGTTTTGGAGTTTTTTCAACATCTAGACTAGAAAACCAACCCTTACACATGAACTTTTACCAAATTACTTGTGAATTTAGGTCTTAGGTCTAATTTACACCCCAAAAGCTAGCTCCAAAGGTAGGAGAATTGTCCAAGCTTTATAAGAAGTACCCATCTCATTAACCCCTAATGTGGGACTTTTGTCATTCTTTAATATCCCACCTCAAGCCCAGTGCTTAGCATCTAGTGCGTGGACAATTTTATTTTGGGGGCCCCAACATTGAATGAGATGAGTCTTGCTTTGATACCATGTGAAATTAGATAGGGTGAACTCCTTATAAGCTTTTAGATGAGACGGTCACACACTTCAACAATCAACGTAGTGTTAGAGCAGGCAATCAAATCTCACCGTCGCCCATATCAAAAAGATTTTTCACGTGTTTGGTCCATGAAAAAGAATCAGGGCCTGCACGTGAGGGGCGTGTTGAGAATGCAGTTAACTAATAAAGACGAGATGGTCACACTACTCATATTGAGGATACTTTATTGACACATTCTTGTGTTTGTTAATTCTCACAGTGGTAAAGCAGCTTATGGAATGATGAAAGACATGGGCGAGAATCCAACAAAGTGGGAGGGAAGAAAGATTCTGTTCATACACACAGGTGGGCTACTAGGTTTGTATGACAAAGCTGATGAAATAGGGTCACTAATGGGCAAATGGCGTAAAATGGATATCAATGAATCTATCCCTAGACAAGATGGCATCGGCAAAATGTTCTGAAATTGACGAAAAAGGTGATACCAATTGTGTTGTCATTTATCAACGCTTACAAGATTAAAAATCAAATTCCAAACATTTCTAGATTCAGATGAATAAAAAAAAGATGTTTTCTGCCTACATCCAAGACTAGTTGAGTTATGGATGCATGGATAGTCTTGTGCTCCCCTCGATTATTTCATTGTATACATGTTACTGTTACTACTCACTAACACATGTATAACTTTTCTTTTTTCTGCTTTCCTAGAATTTGAACTTGTGTTCCCTTTCATTCAATTTTTTGCTTGAATAATTTGATTGTAAATGGAGTTTTTGCCATCACATCAAGTAAAAAATCTGGTTAAACTATGTTATCTCTATACTCTACGTATTAGAGGAATCTAGTGTAGAAAATAAAACCAAAGGACTATGGCCCAGTGGCGTCTCTAGAACCACCACTGGGGGCCAAAACATCTGCTCAAAGGAATTCATATTCATTTTAATTACTACCATTCCCACTTTGGATATTGGCAACGTCACAATCCAAAAAGAAGATGATCGATCTCTCAATTTCCTTAAACTGATTCTGCAAATTGTTTACGTGTGGTAAAGAGTAAATAATTTCATTGGTTTAAAACCATATATGTTTATTTTTTTGTAATAGACAAAGCCAATCAAATCAAATCAGGCTAATTTGACAATTGAATTTTAAATAACAAAAATAAAAAGGAAAACTGCACACAAGTACTCCTTCAACTACTAACTCCTATTATCTCTAAATTTATTTTCTAAGTAATTTTATACTCTTTATTGATTTACATGATACTATTTAAAAAAAAGTCAATCAGCATTGGGCCCACAAGATAGTGCCATGTAGACTGAAAAAAGATAAAAAAAGTATTAATAAAATAAGTTCAAGAGAATAATAAGACTGAAAAAAGATAAAAAAAAATATTAATAAAATAAGTTCAAGAAAATAATAGGACCTTAATACAGCAAGATTTCGGAGGCATAGTTATGCATTATCCAAAATAAAAACATTTAAAATATCTCAAATCTGCAACGTTCAGTTATGTGTAGAGAATATTAAATGCAACAGGTAAGGAAACTTCCCATTTCCCAACCGCCACATCGCACTACGTGTCGCTCCCGCATTTATACCTCTCTTCTGTTACTCTTATTTATCCCCCATTTTCTCCTCCGATCAATCGAAACAAAAAAGATTGTAAAAAAAAAATGGTGTTAACAACGACGTCGATAAGAGATTCAGAAGAGAGCTTGCACTGTACATTTGCATCAAGATATGTACAGGAACCTTTACCTAAGTTCAAAATCCCTAAAAAATCCATGCCGAAGGAAGCAGCTTATCAGATTGTAAACGACGAGCTTATGTTGGATGGTAACCCCAGGTTGAATTTAGCTTCCTTTGTTAGCACATGGATGGAGCCCGAGTGCGATAAGCTCATCATGTCATCCATTAATAAAAACTATGTCGACATGGATGAGTATCCTGTCACCACTGAACTTCAAGTCAGTACTTATTGCTTCCTCCCTCAAAATTGACTTTCTCAAATAATGATTATTAGTTGAGTGACTTTTTTTGTTGATTTTCTGAGATTTAAAAACTATTAATTAATTGTTCTTGGGAGTAAAATAAGAAATTTTAACTTCAAATTGCTATTCAGCAGAAAGATATTCTATTGACATTTTTGATGGCCATAGGAGCTTACTTTAATATAGGCAGAGAATGACAGGAGAAAATTATAATCAGAAAACTTTCTGATAGTCCAAATCGTTAACTAAGATCGGAAGATTTAACCCAAGAGGTGGAGAACTTGTTTATGAAAGATACTGAAATATTTGGGTTTGTTACAGGTATCATACCTTTTTTATATTGGTTCTAGATACCACAAAATCTACGATTCTCTACAAATATCTTATCTAGTAACATTATATTATACTCTACAATATCTATATATTGCTACAAGATACTTATTCAAGTCCTTACACTATATTACCCTAGAACACTCGAAGAATCTACGATTTTTTGTAGTTCCACAAAATCTTTAGGATAATTTCGCAAGATCAATGTACTGAGATGATTAGATCATTTATCAATAAGTAATTACAGATTATAATAAGTAAGTATAGATAAATCTCTGGATGAAGATTAGTTGATAATCTGTATAAGTTGAAATTAACTTGGTAGATCTATAAACTAGACAGTGTATACTGAGTATGTCTATGCGATTTGGGTTGGGAGGAATCACAGAATCTTCGAGAAGGAAGGCAGAACTTGGGGATGTCTAGCCAGGGAGATTGCTTATATTAGCTGTGTTTATGGCCAGCCAGAAAACTATGCAAGCCATTCATCAGTTTGCTTTTTAGATTGCTAGCTTAGTTTTCCTCTTTTCTGGTTGTCTCTGTTTTTTTTTAGAATAGCAAGTTGGGTCATTTTCTTAATGTTACTAGAAAAATATTGAGGTAAAAAATTATTGATTAATACAATTTTGTTGGTTACCAAAAAAAAATTGAGTCCTTTTCTTAATGTTACTAGAAAAATATTGAGGTAAAAAATTAGATTGATGCCACATCAAAGTGTAGATATAGTTCAATGATTTTGGATTGAAGTAATTGAAACGTAAACAGCCTCTCTACTGAACCCGAGGGTCTATCAAAAACAGACCTGCGGGATTATACTAGGAATGTTGTTGAATGAAATTAAAATTTTGGAGTTGCAAAATTGAAATAGTACCATATAATTATGGAGAAAGGAGATGATAATTTATGTTTTTGGGTAGATGCTGTTGATACTTGGGAGTGATTTGGTTTTGTGCTGCAGAATAGATGTGTTAACATGTTAGCACATCTTTTCCATGCCCCGGTTGGTGATGATGAGACTGCAGTTGGAGTTGGTACAGTGGGTTCATCAGAGGCAATAATGCTTGCTGGCCTTGCTTTCAAACGCAAATGGCAATCGAAAAGAAAAGCAGAAGGCAAACCTTTCGATAAGCCTAATATAGTCACTGGAGCTAATGTGCAGGTGAATCAGACTTCCAGTCAACTTTGCAATGTCTTGCTTGTACTGTAAATGAACTGTGAACATGAGTTTGAATGCTCATTACTTCTGTTTATTGGGTCAATATATCCGATTTTGACTTGTAATCCTAGTCTTGTAACATGTGGTGATATTGTTGACAATTGTATTCTGTTACTTACAAGTGACTAAATCTGATCAGATGGAAGTAGATCTCTTTTAAACAAATGTTCTGTCAATTGTCAAAACCAGTCCCTTAACCACCCTTTTGGAGCAAGCTTACTAGAATCTTGTTAGTCTTGTATAATTGTCTGATTACTAAAGTTTGGTTTCTCTGCTATCTGTTGTTTTCGATTCTGCTGAAACTTTTATGTTTAAAATATGGGGTATAGGTCTGCTGGGAAAAATTTGCAAGGTATTTTGAGGTTGAGTTGAAGGAGGTGAAACTAAAAGAAGGATACTATGTAATGGACCCTGCCAAAGCAGTAGAGATAGTGGATGAGAATACAATATGTGTTGCTGCAATCCTTGGTTCTACTCTGACTGGGGAGTTTGAGGATGTGAAGCTCCTAAACGAGCTCCTTACAAAAAAGAACAAGGAAACCGGATGGGAGACACCGATTCATGTCGATGCTGCGAGTGGAGGATTTATTGCTCCTTTCCTCTGGCCAGATCTTGAATGGGATTTCCGTTTGCCTCTTGTGAAAAGTATAAATGTCAGCGGTCACAAGTATGGCCTTGTATATGCTGGTGTCGGTTGGGTGATATGGCGGAGCAAGGAAGACTTGCCCGATGAACTCGTCTTTCATATAAACTACCTTGGGTCTGATCAGCCTACTTTTACTCTCAACTTCTCTAAAGGTAAGATCAAGTGCACTTATAAATTTCCATGTAGTGAAAGAAAATAAGCTATGATTTGTCACTCAGAAGCAATTTTTAATTCCTATTTGAGATCTCATGTGGATGTTAGCTTTAATATTGTCTCCCAATTTCAGGTTCCTATCAAATAATTGCACAGTATTATCAGTTAATAAGACTTGGCTTTGAGGTAATTATCGATATCACATTCGAGACGACTCTGTGTTTCTTCAAGTCTGAACAACAATTCCCTGGATTATATTATTTAATATAAGTCGACAGCGGCCTTTTGCAGATAGATTGTGTACAATAGACCCTTGTGGTTCGGCCTTCTCCGGATCCTGCATGTAGCGGGAGCTTTAGTAAACGGGGTTGTCCCTTTTTTCTACACTACCCTTTTTTCTATCATTTGTTAATATAAGTCGAAAGCTGAGACTCTTCAGGGGCAATTTTTTTAGATCTTATGTCGTGCTTCCTATGATTATGCAGAACGCCTTTGAATTTAGAACACATTTTACCCATAAAGAGTTATGGAGTAAAACAGTGGAATATTTAAATGATGTTTGTCAACAGCTATTTTCCTTCTGAATTCTGAGGTGGTTGATAAATCATTTTGTGCAACAAAGTAAATCTGACATTAATCGTATTGATTAAGCATGATATAAATGATTTACACACTTGTTTTTTGTCTGCAAGGGTTATAAGGACGTCATGAAGAATTGCTTATCAAACGCAAAAGTACTAACAGAGGGAATCACAAAAATGGGGCGGTTCGATATTGTCTCTAAGGATGTGGGTGTTCCTGTTGTAGCATTTTCTCTCAGGGACAGCAGCAAATATACGGTATTTGAAGTATCTGAGCATCTCAGAAGATTTGGATGGATCGTCCCTGCATACACAATGCCACCGGATGCTGAACACATTGCTGTGCTGCGGGTTGTCATTAGAGAGGATTTCAGCCACAGCCTAGCTGAGAGACTTGTTTCTGACATTGAGAAAATTCTGTCAGAGTTGGACACACAGCCTCCTCGTTTGCCCACCAAAGCTGTCCGTGTCACTGCTGAGGAAGTGCGTGATGACAAGGGTGATGGGCTTCATCATTTTCACATGGATACTGTAGAGACTCAGAAAGACATTATCAAACATTGGAGGAAAATCGCAGGGAAGAAGACCAGCGGAGTCTGCTAGGTCTGGCCACACTTGTTATCTGGGCTCCGCTTCCATCGCCATCCTGTAGTATGTATTACGTGTGTTGTTTCCATCTTATGTAGTAGTTGGTACTGTAATCTGTGTAAATGCTTTCATGATCTTGGCTCTGTATATGCTAAATAAGCACTGCATTTCAAGTTCCTGGAAGTATTTATGTATGAATCAATCCGGGCATAATTGGTAGAATGCCCTCTCTGCGTCATCTTTGAATTTCACGTGCAATAATATTTGAAATCTACACCTATTATAATTGATGTTTTTTCCTTGTGTTGAGTGGATGAGAAGTACTATAATTTTAGGAAGATAATAGAGAAAGGGAGAGTTGGAGAGGTATATTGAAGCAGTTATTTTTATGTGATCTATAGGTCTTGAATTCAAACACGATTATGTGTTCTCGACACAAAAGACATTCTACTTCTAACTTATTTTCAAATGAAAAGAGATTATTTCCATTTTGTTGACTGAAGGTGTTTTTTTGTGGTCTAGCTCAAACGTTGTTAGCTTATTATATTGAATCATAAGTTACAAAACGTTGTTAGGTTATTATATTATGTAGAGGATACATTAAGAGTTGTATTTGAACATGTGAATATCATTTCACAACAGACTTAAGCATATTAAATGAGGCAAGAAATCCATATAGATTTAGAGTTGTATTTGAACAGGTGAATATTATTCCACAACAGACTTAAGCGTATTAAATAAGGCAAGAAATCCATAACCTCACTCCAAATATACTCCCTATGTTTTAATTTCCTTTTTAGTTTTTATGAAAAATATTAACTTTCTATATTGTAATTCATTTGTTTTGATTTCTTTTTTATAAAGTTATCTTTTTTTATAGTCTTTAATTTTAAATTTCAACCATATAAAATCAAAAACATTTTTATACATTCTTTACGTTTGTTAATTTAAGATTATGAAATTGAAAGATTTTCATATTTTTCTTATCTCAAAATCAAAATTAAAAAATTAGATAAATTAATTGAGACGGACCGAAACAAAAGGAGGTACAATAGTATAGTGTATTGTCTTTAATTTAAAAACATTATTCTTGTAGTGAAAAAGATCACATTGCAAGTCGGAGAATATCGTCATCAGAAAAAGGGATATTTTGTTTCCCGCCAAATTTGGCATCGACAAATACCTAAGACCAGTGCCGTCTCCCGCCCATACCGCCATTGATATCAGATCCAGAGATTCTTACAGCTCTGAGAATTTCAAACGGAAAATCTGAAGAAGAAAAAATGAGCGGAGTTTTAAGAAACAAAGTACAGAGGAAGTTCAAGATGAGAGGTTACTCTCTCAAAGTTGAAGCTCTCTCCGAAGTCCTCTCTTTCCTTTCCCATTTCCCTTCTGATGCTTTCGACGACGCTCTTGAACTCCTTCTCGATGAGCTTCACCATCTTTCATGTCCGTATATTTCTAATTTTAATGGACACCCTTTTTGTTCTTTTGTAATTTGATTGTTATTTTATTAATTATTGTCTCTATTTGTTTGATTTGGGCAGTGAAGTCCTCGATTTTGGATAGGGAACCGGTGCATAAAGTGGTGAGCCTTTTATTGGAAGCAGATGCCGCCGTTGAAGAGAACCCTAGCTCAAGTTCTTCATCTGCTTCTGCCCTTCGGGTTATTGATACTTTTATCGTCCCTAAATTTCGATACGATCCTGTTAAGAAGTTCTTTCATGAGTATGCTATTCAACTCTTTTATCCATTTTCCCTATTTTTTTAAAATTCAATTTGTTGAGCGCCTTTATCCTGGTTGCAACTTTATGAATTTGGGTATAAGCAGTAAGTTATTTGTTCGTAGAAATGTTTGTTTTCTCGAATTCACTCATGAAGTTTACTTGATTTCTATCTGAGACCTCTAATATTATTTATAGCTAAGATATATGTAAAATCTCTTACAGTCCGTTGTGAATCTGAAAAGAAATAGCAAAAACTTAGAGAATTTTTGGTTAATTTGAGTGCATATAAGTGAGCATAATCTAGACAATGTTGCTGTATGACTTAAAAGAATTCAACTGTTTCATTGGAATGTAACTAGAGTTCAAGACAAATTCTCCAAATGTTTAAGTTGACGTTTTTCAGGAATAGGCGTACTGAAAAGTTAGTTCTCTGTAGGAAATACTACTAGAATTATTCAACAGCAGAGATGATTGATTATAATTAACAAACTGAAATAGGGAAATTACTATAATAAAGCAATTTTGATAGAGAAGAGCAGAAGGAGATGACGAGATAGACAAGGCGGAGATAAGAAGCCAGAGAAGAAGGGATATGAGAGGGATTCTCACAGTAATTCGCATAGCCCTCATCATACTGCGGAACACTAGTTATAAACTAAATTTCTTCCGAACTTGTCCGGTAGCCTTTCAACACTCCTTTATCAACCTGGACCCGAACATAGTCTATCAATGGTTTGTTGGGACATTTCATCGTTTGACTCTTGTGTAAATATTCTCGAGGCTCAATTACTTCAATTTGGTGTGGTCTTCTCAAAATATTCTCTTTTGAACTGTTTTACAAATTGAGGCGGCTGAAACCTTAATTAGCATTATAGTTTAATTATATTAACTATGATAGTATTTGTTCATAGTTTAGTTAGTAAGAAGAATCAGTTCTGAAATAATTAGATACAAAAACTTTCTGTGTATAATTTTGGAGCCTCCTATGCTTAGAATTTCAAGTTAAAAGAAGAATCCATTTTCTGTGTGTAGGCACACAGGGAGGCTTCCCATTCATGGTGATGCTTCTGCAAAAGCCACCTTATACAAGGATAGATTCCTCTTATTGTTTCAAAGGGTATCTCGTGATCCACGGTTTTCAACTCTTGCTTTTGATGCCTCTTCTTCTGATTATGGCAGCTGTGAGGTGAGCGGCAACAATGGTCCTAGTTTAGATTCACATCTCTTTAGATGGATTGCAGAGCTATGGCTTTCAAGTTCCTGTTCAAATGATGCTCACGGTAGGAAATTGTTGTTTTGCAGATATCTCCCATTCAATCACTTGTTGGACGAGTAGGGAGAAGATGGATAATGGGAGTAATATCTCAGTTGGAGGATGGTCATTTCTACTTGGAAGACCTTACTGCAGCTGTTGAAGTAAATTTATCGAGTGCAATATCCTTTTCAATGTTTATCTTATTTCATTGCTCATGATAGTTGATACAACAACAGGGATTAGTATACTTGAGTCTGAGTAGTTGATGACTTCATTAGCAAGTTTTCTCTTCTGATGTTGAACCATTACTGATGATTGTTCCTCTCTCTTTAGTTTTCTGGTTGTCTTAGAAACCTATTCACTTGCTTACATAAGCTATGGTTCTTTTCTAAAGCTGTTAGTTGCTTTTGCTTCTTGCATTTACTCCTGTAATTAGTCTTAGTGTCTTCCAATTTCACTGTTTATGTTATTATTCCTTAAATGCGGTCCATCCTATAATAGAGTTATAGTACTAAAGCACATTGAATCTGCCCCCTCTTTGTTGATGGTAGTGTTCGAAAATTTTGTTCTTAGGTTTAACAGTATTGAAAGTTACATGTTGTGTTTCCATAACCTGCAGTACAAGATAACTACAGGTTTCTTTTTAGAAAATACAATTGTCTTGGCAGAAGGTGAAATGCAATTGGATGGTGTTTTCCAGGTCAATTCTTGTGCTGAATCTCTTCTTTGAAATACAAGTTTGAACTAGATAAATACTTGGGAAGAGGTTGATAAATCAACAGCAATTTCAATTTTCATACTTTGTGGTGCTTAGGCTTTAGCAGAATTTCATCAGTCTTCACTTTTAGTTTCTTATCAATATCTGACGAAGTAAACTATAGGAGAAGTTCTGCTTGTTTAGAACCGATTATATTCCTAATTCTACAAGTGAAGAATAAGACCAATAAAGCTTGCCAGTTGCCAAAGCTGATTCTGTGCATGCCAATTCACAATTCTCTCATGAAAATCTTGCCAAATCTGTCGTGCTTTGATATATTTTTTATCCTGGTGTGACTGTTCAGAAATTAGCAACTTTAAGCAATTATTGTACCAAAAGTGATATAAGCCACCACATAGGATTCAATGTCAAATTGTTTGGCTGAGTTTTGAATATGGTAAAATTGTTTGGTGGTTTAATTTATAACTAATTTGCTAAGATTATCATGCAGGTCAGAACATGTGGTTTTCCTCCATTAGAGGACAGAGAAAAGTCCATGGCGTTTTTTTCGGGACTAGACTTCTTTGGTGGTGGTATTCTTACCAAAGAGGAAACTGTATCCTTTTTTACTAAGTTCAATAAGATGAAAATTGAAAATGCCATGGCAGAACTATTCATGGTAGCTAAGAATGATTATGAAGCTTCCCTAACTTCTGTAATAGCTAAGGCTTGTAGAGCTAGAGAAAAATGCTGTGAATGATATGTTTGTTATACTATCTGATGTATGGCTGGACAATGAGGAGGTATATATGCTTCTTTTTTCTCTTTCTAACCCTCTATTCCTTCTTTTGATACGTTTGGACTAGTTATGGTTGCCTGATCCACCACTCTCCCCTATCCTTAGAGAAGACTTTGGGAAATCTGGAGACAATCCTCAATGGTTATGAAAATGTAGAGGTGGTTCCTTCTTTATTTGTCTTCATGGGAAACTTCTGCTCTCAGCCATTTAATCTTTCATTCAAGTCCATCTCCAGTCTCAGGCAAGTGCAAGTTTGAAATTTAGCTGTATTACTGCTACAAGTATTTGTTGATAAAGTAACTGACCAACAAACATAATATTCAGAGTTCAGTTTGGAAAGCTTGGGCAAATGATTGCATCGCACCAACGACTAAAAGAGCATAGTCGATTTCTTTTTATCCCTGGTCCTGATGATGTAGGTGTGTTGATAAATCATCACAGTTTGTCGTTTAAGCTTTTACCAGCTCTAAAAATAATGAGAAGTTTTCTCTTGTTTTTCCAGGTCCTTCAACAGCCTTACCCAGATGTACTTTGCCTAAATACCTAACTGAAGAATTTCAGAAATATGTTCCTAACGCAATATTCTCCAGTAACCCATGCAGGTATCCTTTGTTTGCTGCAAACTATTTTAAATTAAACGATGAGAGCTAAAGCTTTGAGCTTATTTTCAATTGTTTAACAAAAAGAAAACAAGTAATGCAGTGGTATAGTTCACTGTTTAGTTCTTCCCTCATTTGCCCAATCTAAAGTAGCACAATCAGAATTTGTTATGCAGTCGCTCATGTTAACGTAGGATGCATTCTGGGTG